GTGTTCTTCTCCTCCAGGTGTGCCAGGCTCAGGTGGAAAGCAGCAGAGATGGCGTCCTCAGTGGAGCGGTTCCGACGGTTCAAGTTGGCACACGCTGTCCTCTGAGCCTCTCTGTCACCAGACTTGAAAGCTGAGTTCCGTGCTTTTAGTGGTTTCTGAACCTCCCCATTCATCCAGGGTGGTTGGTTGGCCCGGTGGTGATGTTCTTTGTGATGCTAACCTCAATGCATTTGTTAATGTAGGCTGACACAGTCATGGCATACTCATCTATATTGATCTTATTGTCAGAAGTTACTATTGCTTTGAACATGTTCCAGTCATACCATTCAGAACAGTCCTGAAGTTTTTCTATGGCCCCCTCATTCCATACTCTGACCTGCTTTATTGTTGGTTTAGCCCTGATGAGCTGTGGCCTGGCTTATAGTATTGTCCGGTATTGATAAATGAAGCCATGACTCAGTCAGGATGATGGTGCAGCAGTTACTAAACTCCTTATTTGAAGATAGTTCCAGTCAGAGATTATCCATCTGGTTATCTAGTGAGCAGACGAGCAGGATTGAAGGGATCGTGGCTCCGTGGTAATTCATTCTTAGCTTTTCCGTTAGCCTGCTTTTGCATCACCTCTTTCGTCACCTACCACACTGCATCCTCTGGCCTTTTCTTCAGCATTACCTCCTCCATGAGCCTGCTTTATTTTCACCCATATGTAGCACTCCAAAGCTTTTTAAAAGGTCAAGAGTAGCTCTATTTAAAACATTTTGGCGTTGGCGGTCATAGATATGGGATCGATGCCTGGTTTAAAGCGTTGAAGTGTTGAAGCATTGTGCCTACAGGTGCTTCCATGATCAGAAAATCTGAGGATTGACAATGATTATTAATCTTGCTCCTAGCAGCCTACAATAGACATTCAATGTAGATTCTCCTAGAAACAGCTTTTCCACCATCTACATGTTAACTCTACAGAGAAACACTGTTTTCATCAAAAATAGATTGGAATAAAACAATCATTGAGCCTAAATTAAGTAATCATCAACAAAGCATGTCCATATTTAATATTAAGTAATAGCTAATTGTTGCTATGGAAATATGTATGAAAAAAATAGGTTTTTGCAAATTGTATAAAACTAAACCTAAGTTTTTCTCTGTAAACGCAGAGGCCATGATCACCTGGGAGGAATTTCGCTCCTCGATGCCATGGATGGTTGTCCTGCTGGTTGGTGGAGGATTTGCACTCGCTGAAGGAACAAAGGTTGTCTTTACATTTCTAAATGAAACTTATACCTCATACATTCATCACAATGGGTAGCAGCACAAAAACAATTTGTGACATTACTTAAGGAAATTCAGTTTATTTATGTAGCACAATTTCACCATTCAACCAGATCATCCAGTCAGATTGATTCAAAGTTTTCAATTTAAGGAAAACCAGCTGATTGCATCGACTCATTGACTCTTCAGCAATCCCTCACACTAAGCATGCTTGTAGCGACAGTGGAGAGGAAAAACTCCCATTGAAGAGGAAGAAACCTCCAGCAGAACCAGGCTCAGTGTGAGCGGCCATCTGCTGAGGCCAACTATGAATTAATGCCCTACTTTATAAAAAAGTGTCTGACAAAAGTTGAAAAAATAGCAGATCTAGTTCAACACATCATATTGGTTAATATAGCAGACAGCAAGCTAACAAAATGTCCAATAAAGGAATGGGTTTAGACATCCAAGGTTTCCATCCCAAAGCAAACACTTCCTGATCTACTATTATTTACTATTATTATGCATTGAACACAGATCAATAAAATCTGCATTATTATATAAAAAAAGCAAAGAACACAAACATTCTTCTTTCTACTTTGGCAAATTTAGCTTTATTTCTGAGAATGTACCCCTCGGTTTCTGCTGTCAGGGGTCAAAGTAGATTTAAATTCACAGGGTTTGATTAAAAAAAAATACAGAGAGAATCTACCTAAATGCCTTATAACGCCATGGCAACCCAGACCTAAACTGAATGGATATGCTACTAAAATGTTTAAATATTTAAAGGAAAGAGAGAAAATGTTTTAATGACAATACAAGAAAACATTTACATGACATTTAAATAGATAGAAACAAGAACAATGAGAGTGAAATATTCAAAGATCTATGTAACTTTTCATCTGGATCTTTATCCAAAAATAAACAGAATGCAATGAAATATTTGCTTTGGATATAATTTAGGGATCCCTTTTGGTAGAAGTTAAGGAATGTTTAGCATCACCTCTTGGTAGCTGGAAGAAATAAAATCTTGATAGTTTGACAAAGGGATTATTTTAGGCTTGGCAGAGGATGATCAGCCACATATAGTTTATTAAGTAGCGACAGCAGGAATACTGCTGAGAGCGAACCATCAGAGTGGAGCTTAAAGCACAGACTCTGAGCTAAACCGTGCAAAGACATTCTGCACAAGCACAGCTGGAAGAGCAGACGTAGTCAGAGTTCAGCGTGCAGTACAGGATCAATTCAGGTTATTTTTAACCCCGATCCCATGATCCATCTGTGGTCATGCAGAATGTTCACCGCTGCACACCAGGTAGGTGGCGTTACCAATCAGGATGCAGCAGCATGACTGATACTGCTTGGGAGATTACAGCACAATGATGCAGTTTAAACATCTGACAGAAAACCCGCTAACATTTGTATATAGTCTTGTCTCGTCCATAAAAACTCATACCTATGAGTAGTCATGTTTTAGTCATCAAAGATCCACGTTTAGCTTGTCAGTTTTCATTATTGTCATGAAAAAATTGAGGGTCGAATTTTGTTGTCGTCATCTGTCAATGAGTCGATGCAATCAGCTGGTTTTCCTTCGATTGAAAACTTGGAACCAAGCTGACTGAATGATCTGGTTGAATTGTCTCTGGAAAGTGACCTGAGATCACATGATGTGAATTGGATCTATAGAAATAAACTGAATCGAATTGAAATGAAAACTCATAAAATGGCCGCCCCTACACCACGTTACCACAATGAGTCATCCAAGGGCTCACAATGCTTTCAGCTCACCTTTAGCACATAAAGTAATTTAATGCCCCATGTAAACCCAGAGGGTCGTCTCCTCATGCCTGATTTCTTTTTAAAAGGTTGTCTGTGTGCAGGAAATTGCTGGTTTGATCAGTGAGTTAAGAATGACAGGAAGACTTGGAGAGATTAGCCTGTCTTTAGAGTTTTATGAACAATCTGTACTGATGAAAGCTACTGTGTGTTTCTGCAGGTGTCTGGCTTGTCCGTGTGGGTGGCTCAGCTGATGACGCCTCTGGGGGATCTGCCGGTCTTGGCCACCATCACAGTGGCCTGCATCATAGTAACCACGCTAACAGAGGTGGCCAGCAATGCTGCGACCACCACCATTTTCCTCCCCATTCTCTCTCCCCTGGTAGGTTATTGATGTAGGAACAAGTGTTGGTTAGGTTTTGGTATATTAGGTATGATATTAGCTCTTGATAGTCATATTTTATTTCTATAGCAGGTGGTTTTATACAGCTTTGACAAAAAATATTATGTAGAAGAAAAGAAAGATGCTAACATTGAAGCAAATTCAAACAATCCAACATGGACGGAAGTTGGATTAAAACCCTCAGTCATGATTTCACATTGAAATGCTACAGTTTAAATAAAAATAAGTTTACACTCTTAATACCATTACTATCCGTCTCAGGCTATAAAACAACCAGTAATTTTAAGAGTTTAAAAATAGTAATTTTATTACTGTATACAGTTTAACCGGTTCTAAAATTTATTAAGGATTATTGTCCTGTTAGAACACCTTAAAGGTTTTAGCCAACTGAATTATAAACATTTGATGACAGTTATTGTTCAATGCCCCCCCATCGTGAAAGCTCCAGTAGAAAAACAGCAATCCCTGCTTTGTAGGATGATACTATCATTTCTTGGATTATTCTGCTGTGTTTGGGGTTTAAAAGACTCACTTTATTCCTTTAAAGTCTAGTCAAGATTTGACAAGTAATTTAATATTTGGTTTCATCAGACTATTAACTTTTGTCCAGATGAAATCAAAGTTTTGCCTTAAACTGCAGATTTCAGATCTGTTACCGATCACTCCCAGAGTGTTTTGCCTGGTCAGCACTCCCCATCCATGTTCCCATGGCAGTTTCAGATTTATAGCCGTCTTGAGTTTTGTTGGTTTCTGAGTTTTTCCTAATAATTCCAGCCTAATGTTACTTACATGTGAGGAACAAAGGCAGGTCATTGAAACTTGTACACAAATAGAAGTTAAAGCTACTGCTTAAACTTATCCCCCAACAAACAAAAAACAATGATTTCAAAAGTATACCCAGACTGGTTTAGGTAGGGACGAATCATGGGGCCACATCCAGTGTTGTATTTGGCAGCCAAGTCTGGCTAAACAGAATCCAGCTGTGCTGCACACATTTCAGGGGCATTGTGTTGGTTTATATGGTGGGATAGCTGCTCCTTGAATATATTCATTGTCCTCTTTGACACACGTCTTCATAAGTTTAGATCTGGCCGCTTTTGACAAGAATTTGTCGGTGGTTCCTCCGTGCTCAAACTTTCAGTACCTGACAGTATTTACAATCTAATCGGTCCTCAAAATGTAAAGATGGTTTGAAATAAAGAAAAGCAAATTAAATCTGATCTTAGTGATTTAATTTAAATAGAATAAGCATCAATAAAATTACTACACTGGCGCCACCTTGGCTGTGAAGCACAACGCCTTTTATAAAAAGTTTTTTTTTTTTTACAAAAGTAAAACCCATGACTAAATTGTAGTATTCCACTCGCCCGAACACGTAACTGATGCCAGATTAGGACATGAGAGGTTAGGGCTACACTATGGCCCCGTCCACACGAAGTCAAAACGAACACGAAACTCTAATATTTTCCAGAACGTTTGTCGTAAAGAC